CTTTCTTCTCTTCCATCTGATAAGAGATAAACACGTAAACCATCCATAATGACTTCTTCACCAGGTAACATATTAGGTGTTAAAATTTTAGGTTTCTGTATTGGAGGTAATCTCTTGCTTTCTCTATGTACAGCTTCAAGGGTTTCAATATGCATATGAACAACGCCAGGAACCATTTGATGTAGGCATCTAACATGGTCAGCACTTACGCCTCCTTCAGTACAAACACGATCTACAAATCGTGAAACCATTCGTATAACAGCACTTCCCGTTTCTCCGGGGTCTGTTTCTTCAAATCCAGACTCTGCATCGCCACTATCGCTTGCTACACTATTTGTAATACTATTACTTGCCCTTTCATCGTCATAAATATTATCTTGACGATGAGTTTTTGCTCCTATATCTAATGGGACCAATAAATAAACCATCCTATTTGCATAATGAATCGCTTGGCTGTACATGGTACTTTCTTCACTTGCAATAAGTTCTTTCTGTTTGTCTGGATCGATTGTTGGCCAAATCCTCATTTGTTCAGCAGCTATTTCAAGAGCCGATGGTTCTTGAATTTGATAAATTGAGAATCGATCCCGAAATGAAAATTCTTTGCCATCACGTGGACTAATGGGACTCAAAATACCATCATTTATAAGCCGTGGTGGAGAGTTTTCACCAGGAAGGTATAATCGTTTAATATCTTTTTGAACGTCCAAATAGAAAGCATCTTCCCAAAATTGTTGATTCTGCCATACCGGATGTTCTTGAATGCAAGTGTAAGCAAATTGAATTACTCCTGTGCAAAGTTTTCTGCAAAATGCTGTAGCAAGAGGAAGAAGAGCAGCAGCAACTCCATGCTCATCCATGGATGAATCATCTTGTAATGCACAATTCATTAACCGAACTACAAGATCAAATTGTTGATGTTCTAGCATGGCTTTATTTCCAACAACATGCTGCGATAATTCCATACAAAGCGCTAAACGAGCAGCTTTACTTTTTAAAGCCCTTAAGACAGCTGGAAACGTTTTACGAGCATCGGATATCTTATTTTCAAATATACAATTTATACAATTACGTAGAACTTCTAGTCTACGTGCAGAGTTGCTAACCAAATGTCTAGTGTCATGGACAAATGAAATATGTGGACCCATAGGGACAATACGTGGTTGTGATGGTCTTAATGACGATAATCTACACATAAAATGTTGAATGTAAGTATAAAATACTATAAAGTAACAATGTACATATAAAAATATCTAAAGTATATTTCTAATACAAACCTAACTTTCAGATTATTTTTAGCAAGACCTTCATCTATAATTGCTTGAACTTGTTCTGGATTAATGCGCGGTAAAAGCGGCTGATGTATTCTAGCAAATGCTCCTTCAGGTGGTTTTAAAATTTTTTGCACATATGGTTGAGGATTCGGATTTTCATTTGTGTATAACTGTTGTGCCAACTCTTGAATATGTGTTAAAATAAGTCCTAATAACAATAACGACAACAACAACAATAATAGTAATAATATATACTTCAAAATCTGGTACATTGAAGTATTGTTTGTTGCATATAATATTTTATATATTTCATCACTGTCAATTGTATGCCTCATTATTACTTACTATGATCTTGTGCTTCTTGCTTTAATTGATCACTCAAATTATTATACAACTCATCCCATACATCACAAGGCCTCCATGGTGGTCCCCTTTCTGCAATAAAGGAAGTAAAAAACATGCAATCCAAAACTCTAGTTGTAAAATCACAATCTGTCAAGCCACGTTCTCCTAAGAAAGCTGCCTAGAAATAAGAAATACAATTTATATACTTCTTTTTTACCTGTATGCACTAGATGAATAAAATCAATAATAATTAAAAACCTTGTGAAATGTTATAACAGGTTTTGGATGAATTCTTATTAATGTTAGACAGCTTCTATAACCTTGCAATAGTTGAGCAAAGGTTCTCATAAAAACTGCTCTCAATTCTTTATCTAACATAGGAGAATGAGGAGCCCTTGTTGCAAGTGGTGGAAAAGCATAATCTGCACAAGCCAATTCTGGTTGTAGAACTAAAGATAATGCATCTTGTGTTTGTGAAAGAAGTGGTTCTGGAAGAAGTGGAAGTGACACTCAAAAAATATATTTAATAAAAAATTATTTTAATGTAAAAAATAAATGTTGTAAAATTTAATTAAACATCTTACGAGTTCTGCAACTTCATATTTTAATGAACTATGTACACCCATGATAAATGGAGTAGGTGTACTGAGTACTTCAACTAGAGCTGCTGGTAAAAGAGGAATGTAAACATGTGTGTATCTAAATGGATACATTAGTGCAGTAAGAGCACGACATCCTTCAGTTAATCGTGAATAACTTGCAGAATGAAAAAGTATTTTATGTTCTGTCATAACAGCACAAAATAATACTAATACATTACGGATACCTATAAGATATATATAATGTAATGAAAATTATATGTAAAAATGTATTTGTAATAATGATTTTGTTCTTACCAAGTTGTTGAAATAAAAGATTTACACTACTGTGTGTTATTGGAAGAGAAGGGCTAATTGGAGGCTGAAGTGCTTGACGATCTCCTGCACCAATACTAAACCTTACTTGTGGTCCACCAGCAGGTGGTACTTGTATACAACCCAATATGTTTCCTACCAGAGTTTCTAATGGTATACCAAGATTTTCTACATATACTGTATATATAATACCAAGACAATTCTGAAATGTTATTGATGTATGTAGAAATGTAATTATACTTTTAATATAGATAAAATTTGACTTACTCTAAAGGTTTCAATATAATCAAGTCTGGAAACCAGCACCAGACATTTTGGTGCATACATAATGCTGTGATGTGCAATTGTGGGTATTGTTCTAACCAAAGAACGACTATCGCCATCCACAGGATCTTCTTCTTCATCTACAGGTTTACTTGGCACAATAGATACTGTTTCATTGAAACACATGCAAGCACAATAATGACGATTTGCATCAATGTCAGTTAAAATGGATACAAAAAATCGTGGTTCTTGCCTCTCTGTAGATAAAGCCCATCCTTGTGGTTGACAAAACTATAGAATAAAACAAAATTAGTTATTACTTACAAAAAATGAGAATTCAACAATGACAAATCTTACCCATTCTATTCCTTCTATGAATGGTGTATCTGACCAATCCTTTTCTGGAAACCTTTGTAAAATGATTCCATTACTTATTCCCCCTCCTGTAATAATTAATGGAATTGAACCTTTTCATTGTTATATGTTAATCAATTATACAGTTGTAATAAAGATGTTTTTACTTTATAAACAGATTTAAATAACAAATATTAAAACATCTCCATTAATGACATTTAAATTTTTAATTTTCAATATGTGTATCTTCACATAGACTGTACTACTGTGCATAAATATTTAAATATAATACAC